ACTGCCACAGAATTGAACTAAGCTTAACATTAATTGTATGTGCTTGAATACTTCTGAGTATATCAAGCTTCGTAGTTTTCTGCAATTATTATTATTTCTATACATTGCTATCTTTAACAATGTTGCTGGATTTTGTTTCATTTTAGCTCAGTGGAAGTACATTTTGTAATCTTTTAAATCTACTTGGTTTGGCATGTTCTTTCCATGTCTTTTGTGAAAGGAAGTATTTTTAAACTGTTAAAATATAGTAAGCAAACATCGATTATGCCAAGTTTCTAATTAAAGTTCATGGAGGTTACTTCTGTGGATATTAGTGAAAACAAATACACAAGCAATTCAATCCAAATCTTGAATTATAGACCATAATTTGCATTTCTATTTTAATTGATGAAAAATGTAAAACTAATATTCATTTATGGAGTGTGGCCACAGTAAAAAGACAGTTCAGAATATGTCTAGAATGAGTGCAACTATAGTAATATACTGCTGATATAATTGACAGGTTTTTATGCCTAAATAAGCCTTTTTAACTTCAAATACTCTGCATAATACTATATACAAAATATTCATTATAATGACTGTAGCACCAAACCATAGGAATAAAAGGGAGAATTTTAAATGGCCAAAATAACCCTAAGCATCAGGATACATATTTGAATTAAAATAAGATTTATTAATTTTGTAGAACTTATTTGTAAGAATAAGAGAGTTTAGAGATGAATTTGACTAGATTAGAACTGCCATGATATTATGTTAATACTTTCTTGTTGCAGATTTTCTTTTCCAAGTAACAGAACGTGAAATTGTTGCTCCTTCTCCCTTCTCTGTTACATTATTTCATCTGACCTATAAAATATATATAAAAATTGTTTATCAACAAGAATGGAAAGTCTGCTTGTATACTCATGGAAGAAAGGTTGATGTTTTTATGTATTGTTTGTTTATGTTTGTCTTTAAAAATCAATAAAAAATTTACAAAAAAAAAAAGAAAGAATGGAAAGTCAAACTTGGAACAAAATCCATTGCCCTTTTGCACATTTATTAGACCGTGGCTAGAAGTAATCTTATTAAATCAATAGTGCAGACATAGAGCAACTTTTCAGAGTTAGAAGATGTGGAACAGCTAATGTCCTTAATAAAAAGCAGGCACATTAAGGTCATAATCTGCCTATCACTGAACACAATGGACTATGACTGAAGTACAGGATATGAACCCTTAATACCCAAGAGGAATTAATATTTCCTCTACACATCGTTGGAAGAAATATCCTTCTGGGTTCAGTTTCAAGTGGGGAAAAAGACACTGGAAACATGGAGGTTGTTTGGAAGGTTTAATGGTGGACAGGAGGACCACATGGCTTGGAGGTCCAAAGTGAAAAGGAAGGATGATCACATGCTTCAAGGTGAAGGAAGAGATCAGGGGTGGGATACGACAGGGTTAACTACCGGTTCAGGATTTATGATCTTCCGTGCACACTTGAGCCGGCATGCCTGTAAATCGTCATCAGCATGCTATGTGCAGAGACACAGCCTTTGAAACAGCCCTCTTTTCCTGCTTTTTTAACTGCAGCTATGCAGTTGAAGTTGAAAAATCAGGAAATAAAGATTACGTAAGAGCCCAGGTGGGTGGGTGGGTGGGCAAAAACATCATAGAACCGGTTCTATGTCTGCTGCTCTTCAGACCCCCAAGGGGCCATGTAGGGGCAACTCTGTAGGCTGTCCTGAGTTCCAGGCTTGGTTGAGCCTTGCTACATGATGATGCATTGAAAGGGCTTTTGAGCAATTGCTATAGCTTTACCTGGAGATATTTGTTATGTAAAGTATTCTGGCCCAGGACTTAATGGCCCACCCGTTAACAAAGGTGGGGGTGAGATTAACAAAGGTGGGGGTGAGCTTCTGCTTCTGAGGTCAGTTTCTGCTCTTGAGTTTCTACTCTTTTTAGAGGAAATATTCTGCCTTTTTAATATTTCCCAGGATATTTCATTTTCTAGGAGAAGGGTGGATGCTAACTTCCTACAACATGATGCAGAGCGCAGCCCTATGCATGGGTGTTAGAAGTCAGCTTGACTAAGGTCATTGAGATGGGCTTGAACCCAGCAAATTTGCAAAGAATTGTATTCTTAATCTTAGCTGTTCTCTAACAATGATTTGGGTTGACAATCTTTTTTTTTTTTTAGGTAACATCTTAACTGCTCCTTAAATTGAGTATATGGGAATGTAAGCTACAAAAAAGTAATATATAGCTTAATATAACAGAATAACAAAGTTGGAAGGGACCTCGTAGTTCATCTAGTCCAATCCCCCGCCCAAGCAGGAGACCCTACCCCATTTCTGACAGTGCAGTCCCTCAATATATTTAATTCTTACAGGTACCATAACAGAGAAGACTGAATAAATGGTGTTGCCAAGAAATTATGAGTAGTTACTTCTACCCTCATAAACCCCCTGCAGTATATTGAATTAATTGTGGAAGGTGAGATATGGTATTACTTGTTTAACTGCTTATGGGATTTGGAGTAATGGAGAAGTCAACACACTGCAGCAAACTTCTCCACCTCAAAGCATCCAAGCAAAAGGAAGCAAAGACTGCTCTTTCTTTCTCTCAGTAGCAAAGACTGAGAAATTGAAGTTTGCTGATGACTGCAACACTTTGCTGGTTCTTCTCAATGAAGAACCAGCCAGTGTTGAGCATACTCAATTTGGTTGAGTTTGTTTGGAAATGGGCTGAATGGAGCCCTCTGGGGTGCAAAGAGGGGGGGAAAAAATCAGAAGTCTTTCTTACTCAAATATTTTGTGGATGGGAAGGATTGAAGCAGGAAGATCTGGGGTGGCTGGTCAGTTCCCCAACTGCCAGCCCAGTGGGAGGATAGGTGCAGTGGTGTATTAACCATTAAGCACCTGCTTATGGCACCAGGTCCAAAGGAAGCACCACAAAAACTTTTATGTAGCCTAAACTTGGCTTCGTTTGTACAAAGGAGGAGGGGCAGCAAGATTTTGTCAGTGGTTTTAGTGCACCCTTGAGCCTTAATCCGCTACTGGATAGGTGACAAGTGATGAGGTAAAATTCGCAATTCTTACTACGATCAAATCTTCTCTCTGAACCACGGAGGGCAGATTTAAGTGAATGATTCTAGGACAGTCCTCGCGACGATGCCCAGGAAATGGACAAGTAACGGCGGGTGCCTCCAATCTGCTGCCCCCGAGCCCCGCAGCCTGGAAGCGGCTTTGCTCAGGGGTGGAGATAACGACGGCCGCGATGTTCCTTCCTTCACTGCAAATGGGCGGGAAAAGATTCTTTAAAAGTCCAAGGTAGGAGAAGGGAAGAGAGTTTTTAGCAACGCAACTCTGACTCGTAAAGCCGCCTCTTCACAGGATGGCGACCATTGCGGAGAGCGATTTCTCCCGCAAAAGCAAAGCGGCGAACAAGCTATTTAAAACAGGGCGATCGCTCTTCGTACGTAGGGAGAAAGTGGCGGCTCTTTACCACAGCCTTATCGGTAATGTCTTTTTTTTTTTTTAATTGACCACGGTTGGATTTATGTCACACTGGAGTTTTGCCTTCGAGGGCGGGGGGGGGGCTGGAGCAGCAGGGTCTTCTCTGTGAGGAACGGCTCTTTCTCTTCACTTTTGCCGGATTTGGGGACGGGGGGACGGGACGGGGTGGGGCGAAGTGGTTATTCCACCTCACTCCCGCCACAGCAGAGGAGGGAGGGGCGGCATGAAGAGCCGGGCAACAGCCAAGCTCCGAAGCCGCTCGCGGGCTGTGAGAAGCGCGCGCGCGCGCCCGCCTGGCCTCCGCGCGCCAGCCTCGGTGAAGAGCGCGCGCGAGGCGGGCCGGGGGCGGCGTTAAGGGTGGCGTGGGGGGGGCGCGCGTCGGCCGGAGCCCCCAACGTACCCTCGGCAAAGGGGTGGGAGCTGATTGCGCTCCGCGCCGACGGGACTGCCGGCCAGAAAGCAAAAAAAAGGAGCCGCCGCTCTGCGGACGGGGAAAGCGCGGGATGTCTGCTGCGGAACGCTACGGAGCCCGAGGCTGAGGACTGGCGGCAGCGGCGGCGGCGGCCAGCCAGCCCGTCCGGCCAAGGTGGCCAAGCTGGGTGACGCTGCTCTGTTCGCCCCGAGGGGAAACCAAGGCGTCGTCGGAGGCTGCGGAGAGCGAGGCGGTACCAGTGGGCGGGCTTGGCTAACCCTTGCCCTCAAAAGGGGGCTACCTCTGCCGCCCCGGCAAAGCTCCCTCTGGACGAAGCCACAAGTGCTGAAGGGAGCGGCGCGAGAAGTTTGCCGTCCGTGGGGAAGGAAGGCGGTCGAGCGGGCCAACCTTTCCGGAGACCCTCGGCAGCTGCTCGCCGCGGCTCCGGCCCTTCCCCTCACGCCCTCAGAGGCATGCCCCTGCCTGCCTTGCCCTCCTGGTCAGCCTTCTTTCTGCGCCTTCGGGTAGCGACCTTTTTTTTTTCTCCCTTCGGCCGGGCAGCTCGCCCGCTTGCCGGGGCGCGCGTGGATGCGCACGCGCGGCGCCCCCTCGCTCGGGACTTGCGGGAGGGTTCACCACCAGGCACCAGCCGCCGCTCGCCTCGCTCCTGCTGCCGCGCCCCGTCTGGGATCCTTCCCCGAGAAGCGAAGACCCAAACGCCGCTTGGCCACCGACGGGCTGCTTGAAGGGCTCGTGGAAGGCAGCCTTGCTTTGCCTGCCTCCTTCCCGCCGCCCTTAGAAGGGGAAAGTTCGAGGTCGTTGCCGATGAATCGCCATCCTCGAAGGGAGGGGAGAAACCGGGCTCCAGAGGTCGTCGCCGGCTGAAACAAAATGTCTTCAGGCTTGGCAGGGCTGAAGAGACCCCTCTGGGCACCCCAGGATGATTGCTGACAGCCAAATCCTGTGGTCCTTCTCTAAGATGTTTCTATTTGGGATTAGGTGTATCGAAGGGCGAGGGAGACCTGGCTTGTGAAACTTATCTGACTCCCCCTCCGCCCCCCTTTTTTTTGGCTTTGGGGGACTTATGGCTTCAATGGCTCCATCTCTTAAGCGAAGCAGTAGGAAAGATGCCAACGTCCTGCCGAGTGCATCCTCAACTTTCTGGGCAGTCATGATCTTGGTTGGCCTTTTAATTGCCTACTGCAGTAAGTATAGATTCAGCAGATCAGACAGATCTGTGTATTTCTTTGTATTTTTGGCTTCCTTTCTTGACTGAATGGACCACGTTGATTTTATAGGCCAGGCTGTTTCCAAAGAGCCACTACGTGTGCATTATAAAGCTAGGTTAAAAGCAACGTTTTGTATGAAACTTGGTTAAAAACAATGCTTGCTTCCAGATGTTTTGTATTTCCTGCCGCTGTTGAAAACCTAACAAAATATGCCAACACCAGTGCAATCCAGACGTTCTATATTTATTACTACTTACATTTTCTATTACTGGTGCGTATTTCTGTCTTTATTTCTCTCCATGTCCAAGTCTCCCCTTCTCATACATTCAGGATTCTTGAAAAACATGCTTATGATGCTATTCCTTAGGGATAGAACTTGGTTCTACTGCAAATGTATCACAAAGCTTCCTTAGTTAAATTAATCATCTGTTTTATTATAGCTTATAATAAACCAGTTATTTCTGGGGCAGAGCCAGAAGTATTAAGTACCAAAGGATGGAGTTTAAAAGACTGTAAAAGTATTTATTTATTTAATATAAATACATTTTGTTTAGAAGCTTTTGGCTATTATCAGAGTATGGAAATCATGTTTTTGTAAAGTATAATCCAAATGTGATTTAACAGAATGAAATATACTTCTTAGCGTGCATGAATTCGACATAATTTATTGACAGCTGTAATATACATTGGTCAATGGGAGAAAAGGATCTCATGTTGACTTTTATTGAAGAAAATAGATTTGAAATACAGTTTCTTTACCATAACTGAAGTTGGATGGTTAGTGAATTCTAAATCTCTTTAAAACTAATAGTTTATTAAGCATTCCCTATTTGTGATTATTATGAAACTTTCTGAGCATTACTACATCAGTGGAATTTTCTCCTTAAGGTAAGGACAGGATTCTTTAGTACTGAATTTGTGTTTCATTGTACTTTTAAAATTAACATATATTTCTATAATATAAAATCTTTTAATTATCAAATTCTTCATGGAAGATCACATGCACTACTACGGGTAAGATAACATTTTAGTCCTCAAGCTCTTGTATTTAATAAAACACATGTTAAAATATTGTGTTAAATTGCGTTGTCTATAAATCTTGCATATGAGTGCACTATATGTGTAATGTAATGATAGGATATTGTCAATTGACAAATACTTTTCAATAACTTTAAAATATATTAGGGTATTGATACTTTTAACAGTTGTATTTGGGAAGGACAGCGCTGTTATTGTTTTTCAAAACCTTCAGTATTATAATTCTCGTTTTCATAGATTTTTGTCCACTTCCTATCTCTCTATTAGCCTGAAATGCAATCTCGTAATTTCTAAATAGTGAGTTTTTAAATTATAACTAAATTCTTTTTTTTGCAGATCCCAGGTTAATCTTTACTAAGCACGATGAATATATATTCTGTACGGCTCTGAGCAGAACATTCCCTAGCCTAAAATATGCAGTGTCAAGACACTTCACTACTTCCATTATTTCAGCATCTTAATAACTGAATGTGCAACTTTGAATATGATGATATAATTCACATGTAATCTGACTGCCACATTGCTTAAAGACCTTTGTAGTAAATGACTTTTAAATTCAGAAGAATACTACGAATGAAATATGGACAAAATATATGTTAATATAGTTTATATAGAATCTTATTATCTTTAACAGGATACTTTAAACATGTTTTATTACAAAATTAAGATCAATCATTAGTTAATAATCACTGCATTTTTTATAATTGAAATGGAATGGAAAGATAATGAACACCTCCATGCCTGTACTTATATACCTATGTTCATTTTAAAAAATACACTTATCTGTTACGGATATGACAGCTGTATTCCAAACACTCAGCTAAAATGACAGCACAGTCAGGTTTAAAGTATAATTTAATATAATGGATCAGTGAATATTTTAAAGTTTAAAGTAAATTTCAACATAACTTAAAAATGTTTCTCTTCCTTTCCCTTCTTTCCTTAATAAATATATGTTCTTATAGAGGAAAATGTTTTGTTTTTATGAGGTGATAAACAAATTTAGCATACAAAAAGGCTCTTATATAGGATGATTTTGCTTTTTAATTATCAGAAAATACATTGTTTATTTTCTTTGTTTCTTGTAACCTGAAAGATGAGGAAAGGATTATTTTCTTTCCTTAACTCTTTGGTTTATACTTAGGGATAGTAGCTCCACCCGATGGATGGTTGAAGGAGATACCTGTAGGAAACCAATTAAGTTAGTTGCTATAGCAATAAAGCTTATGGGGCAGCTGTTTGGGGAAAAAAGATTCCAAGGTTCTTCTTTTAAAGTGGTGATCAAAATAAGAAAGGAATAACTGTGGTGAAATACTATAAACTAAATCCATAGAAGTTATAAAAAAAACAAATTTTATTCTAATAAATTATTTATAGTCTGTCAAGCCTCTAGAATTACCTGGTATGGCTGCTGTAAAACATAGAGTTAACCTACTTCAGTAAGTTTTGTACTGGAGCATCTTTCAGAAATTGTTGAGTCAAAAGCCATCTTAGTGACAGTCATTAATAGACTGAAGGCTATTCTATTTTTCTATCAATTCATTCTATCCTATTTTTATAGCCATTCATTTCATTGATTTTATAGAAAAGAGGGTTTCTTGCAACATTTGTTACTATTTGAAATACATTGACTGAGTCTTGGGGAAAGGATTGTTTATGACTGTAGTTTGGAACTTTCCATAGGAAGGTTGCTTTGATTTGTACCTACACTAGTTATCTTTATATCATAAAGCAACCTTAAAGGTACATGTTAAAAGGGGGAACAGCAACATACAAGTCTTTTCTCTTCCTGTTTCAGTTCTCATCCTAGCATTATATATGTTATTTAGGTGGCATCCCTTTTAGAGTTTTGTTTACTGATCAATTTATATGAAATCAGCCAAGAAAATGATTTTTAAAAATAATCACTTTAAAAAAAAAATCTCATAATATACATTGAAAGCAAAAATAGGAATGTTTTTACATAGAAGCACAAACAGGCATAAAACTGATGCCAGCAATGAATTAAATTTTGAAAACAGTCCACAAATGATTTAATAGGAATAATATACTTTTTTAGTTGTTGACTTGAGGATTGACTTTGTGCATATGTTCATTACACTGTTGTCAACTTGCCTGCAAAAAATACAGCGCTCAACAAATTGCCAAAGCAGAGTTTTGCATTTGGCAGCATGCATGAACACAAAATACAGAAAACAAGAAAGATTACATTACAATCCATGAAGACTAAATTGCCTACTGGAGTGTATCATTGTAAAAAACAACAACAGGGTGACCATCTTTATAGGATGAGCAGAAATTAATTTGCATCTCTTTCCGTGAAAGAGCCGTGTTTTGGAATTACTGAAAAATGTTATAAATATGCTTGATACAATTGATCTGTAAGTAATTCATCTAAGTATTTTACCCTAGTTTTCCAGGTTCCTCTTTGCTTTGTTTCTCCAAGGAAAGGTAGCTACTATTACATGCTTGTGTTTCTTTTCAACCTGTTCCAGGCAGTTCTGCAAGAATGGGACCTGAGTTTCCATTAGAAGCTATTTCCTCACAACATGTATAGCTTGGAGAGGAGAAAAGCCAATTGTGGGACAGAAAACTTCAGAACATGATGTCTTGCATCATGTCTTGTCTCGAATTTGGAGGACATGAGATGTTTTGTTTTGAGTTTGGAAATCTGAAAGTAGTCATGTCAGCTTAGAAGATCATTGTGCAATCACATCTTAATTTATTGTTGTTTTAAATTTTATATTTTTATTCTGCCATTTGCTACTTTAGTCTCTTAATATTTATCTGGATATGTATTTTTAATTAGCATTTTAATTGTGTACCATCCTGTATAGAAAACAGATAATAATAAATATATACTATATAGTTACCAGAGCAGAATGGAAGAATTTATGGTTTCCAAATTGTAGGAGCAAGTGGTTAATGTGGGACTTTGAAACTAAAGTAGAGGTATTAATTGTGCAGTGAATTAAATTAAATTTGTTTGCAAACAAATCAAAGAATGGTACAAATAATTTTACATTTTATATTAGATTCCTGATGCTTATCTAAATAATAATTTGTTGATGACACTAATGCTCCTATATTAAAAGACTAATGTTCCGAAAGAATGGTGTTAGTTTAATTGAAGTAATATTTTAGGAATACGTGCTATGTGTAATTATATAACACATTGACACTTTATTCACAACACAGTTGTTGGATAAGATACCTACATCCATCAGAACAATTTAAAAAGAAACTGTTTATCCAATTAGTAAAAACTTTAACCTATTCTCACAACTTCTTCGTTGCAGAACAGGCAATTTTCAGAATTCTAGATATTGATTTTAATACACATATATTTATTTATAAAAGTTAAAACAGTCTGTAGATATTCATTATTTACGCACTAAGAAAAGTGGGTAAATGCTGAAGACAATTCTCCATTAGAATTTATAGGGTTTGTATTTTGTGTTACAGAAATTATTTTGCATGGTTTTGCATTAAGAGTCATATTAAATTAATAGCTTAAATGCAGTATGTAAGAGAATGTTGTAGTACAAATTTTAAACCTGTCATCTATCTCAGACTTTGTAAGCACCTGTTCTTTAGAACAATCTTACACTCTTCCACCAAATGACCCTTTCTAATTTTCCGGAAAGCTTTTTAAAATGGGGCTTTTCCCTATTTAGTTAGGGCAGGACAATTGATGAGCCTGTTTTCTGGGAGGTAGAGTGTTTGTGAGTTTAACCTTAGCAGAATGTTGTATTATATGGTGATTATGGATTCCATTCCTTCAGGGTTTTTTTTTTTAACTTTATTTATTATTCTTTTCCAGATTTTACTTGACATATGCCATCTGGAATTGCAATTATGTAGATATATACGTATTTTAAATATTTAAATAAATAAGGATGAAAAGGATGTATGTTTTGCACACAACTTTTTGTTTT